GCTGCCTGCTAGGCCTAAAGTCTGAGCGCGGATGGAAGAGCACGAGGTGAGAGAGCGCAGCATATAGTGGGCGCCGGTCCCCAGCCTGCTCAGGACGGGGAACATTACAGCAGCTGCAGCTAATTTTGCAGGGCCCTAGCCTCGCCTTATCGGATGAGTCCCATGCACTGGGAGTGGCAAATCTAACATTATTCCCCAAGGTTATAATTCTGCGAACTTACTGAATTCCTTCCACGCTTTGTCTTGTACCTTTAAAGGAGGAATTCACGATTAGAATGAAGGTCGAAGAAAGGGAAACTGACCTAGTTGAGGGACCCACGGACCTCCTGAGGGTGCGAACTGACGCGCAATTCGCATGGAAAAATTTGACCTCGGCGACCTATCATGCCTCAAAGCTGGCGGGTCCGGCGATCTCCGCCCACCGATCATCTGATCACTCGCCGTAGTTCAATACGTGGCGAGTGATTAGATAGAGAGCGTAGTGTTGAAGAGGGCACAGCGATGAGAGTCGCATCAATGCTCGAATCAACGGGCAAGGAAGGGGTACCATTTCTCGGGTTCTGGGCCGTTTCTCATGGTTCTTCCTTCTTTCGTGTACCACTCACCATCCCTAGGTTAATTTGAAATGGGTTGCTTTTTCATCGTGAATTCGTCCTTTAATCGAGAAACTGTTCCAGAGAAATCATCGATGTGCATTTCCGTGTTGAGCACAGAACGTTCAATTGGCATTACTTCAAGTGGTCTGATGCCCGTGATCTTGTGTATTTTATAATTTTCAATCATCACAGCTGACAATTATTATCGCTGAACACTCAGCATAAGAAGGCAAAAGCGTACTGTATTGCCTCTGACCACAGTATCCCGCTCTATAGATTGAACAATTCGAGCACTCTGGATCAGCTATCACCGTGCTTCATATTATGCAATGTATCTGACAGCTACAAATTTTCCCATTTGCTTTGCATTTGCTGGTAATGTCTATGGCTCCAAGCATCACTGGAAATTGAATTGCCCAAGCGATACCACAGTAGGTTAGTTAGGTTAGGTAGTAGGTCCAAAGGGTCTTCCTTTTCAGGGAATGTGACAAACAGACTATTAATCTAATCCCTCTTCCTCCGTTCTAACTTCTGCTCAGAGTAATTGCAGTGGTTGCCTCTAAAACTGGCCTCTGCAGCAAAAACAGTAATGAACTCTTTTACTTTTTTCACGGTCACCGGATGGAGGTCACCCTGAGTTTATTCTCCATGCTATGTCATCAGAAACATCGGCGAGGAATTGGGCTCGTTCAACACCTCAAAAGCTGCGGAAGCTGAATTTGAAATTCGTCAAGACTTCTCTAGAAATTCTTGAGCCGGTGCAAGAGCGGTTACCCCGATGAAAGCATCAATCTATCTTTTAGCTATGCAAAGTATCCAGACGATAATGTGCGAGTACATGAAGTTTGTAAGAAGCAAGACTAGTTCAGCATTAGGGCCAATGACAAAGGGTGGCGAACATCCACATGCCCCGAGATCCGGTACTACCAGTCACTCCCCAGGAGGCCACGGCTCTCGCGGGTAACCGTGTCCACCAGTGTCATTTGATTCAGGATGAGTACTTGGCCTTCCTTACAAAACCCGACACTCCACACTGTTCGTGGGAACTATGCAACCCTTGCCATTGAAAGGATCCTGGTCAGCGGCGCCTTCGGAATATAAGGGGCTGACTCCGTGAAACTACTGTTACTGTATATAAAGGGGCACGGTGTCATCTATCTCCCCAATAACTCGCCTTTTACCTGAAATCCGCAGGTTCTCATCGAATCGTCTTTAGCAAGATTGGCAGAACACGGATGAATGAGAACCATGTGGACAAGCAGGCTTCAAAAGAGACTTCAGCGCGATTGACCATATCCGGGACACGAGGCTCATTGAAGTGTTGCGAAAGTACAAAATGCTGCTATAAGTCACACCTTGATACTGTCGCTCATCGTGCATATTGTATGAATTCTCGTATTCGAATCCGAATAAGGAATGTGCATTGATTTGGTTTCTAATGAAAAGAGTTGAGTTTTTAGACAAACCGCACGATAAAGTGTTTGCTTTTTCGAAGGTCATACTTCTTAGGCCGATGTCAGACTTTGCGAATCGCGCGATTCGCTACTAGCGATTCGCGCGATTCGCTAGCGTCCGCGGTCGCGTTGCGGTACCAGCCAATTGAGTGATTCACTGGCCGCGACGCGACCGCAGACGCTAGCGAATCGCGCGATTCGCAAAGTCTGACATCGGGAGCCTACGAACATGGCCTCTGGCGTAATCTAAGGCACTTTTGCCGGTGAGCTTGGGAGCCATACCTCCTTAGCAATTCTGTTCCTTATCATCAGCTGATTACCTGAAATCTGCCGTTTAAGTCGTGCTCCAGACTGACGCCAAAGGAACTCACTCCAATCTTCCAATGAAGGAGCGCTCACTGCTTATCCGAAACAGAAATACGTAAGGGGTTACGAACGTGACGCCGAAATGGTCTTCAACGAACAACTTACGTATTCTTCAAATTTGAGATTCTGCCGTCAGCTTTCGCTTTTCACATCTTGAATCACGATCTTTAGACTGTCGGCTCATTCCAAGTATAGTATGAAGTGCGAGAGTTCATGTCGAGGGTCATTTGATTGGGTGAGCTCCACGAAACAGCTCGCCTCAAATTAAGTCGCTTGTCAAATTTCACGGCTCCTTGATAGCTTTCCAATTTAGGGTATCCGAACCCAAATGGAACTGCTATTCCCTCTGACAAGGCAAGACACTCTCCAACAACATTGCCCGAGTTTTTAACTTTCATCGGTTTAAATCTGCAGTGCATAGAAGAAAGGAGCAGTGGATGATCGTGACTGCTGTTCCGTTCCGTAGCTTCAGCTTTCTCAAAAGGAAACTGTGAAGAATCGAGTTGACCACAATCCTGCAGCAGCAAGAGGAAGATCGGCTGAGAGTTGCGAGTTCCTAGCATGTTCATATAGGAAACTGTCCCGCAAAAACCACACATACAGGCCTAAGATGCTTGAGAAAAATGGCTCTTCTGAGCACAGAGGGCTAACAGAAAATCAAACTATAAAGCGCTTCTGAAAACGGCCGCAGAAAACGACCACGTGAGGACCATGTTTGCGGACGCAAAAATTTCTACCGTGGAAGAAAGCTACACCCGTCAAACTCACTTCAGCTCCCGTAGAAGACGGCGAGATAAAAATTGTTGCACACCGCAAGCAGAGGCCAATTCTTGTCCTAAACTGGACTCAATCTCGACACGCGGTTGCTACCCACCGTGTCTGCGGGTGGAAGAACAAAACTTGATGCCGACATCTAGATTGGGAATGTTCCAGAGCAGCCTCTGTTACTGAGGTCACACGCCACTTCAGGGAGGAATGGTGGAATCTCAACAGGACAGCGTTTCTACACAGAAGAAATGTTCAGGACCGCTGTCGCCACTCTTTCTCAAGTTCGCGCAACGGAAAGTTCGCCAGTAACTTGATCGCTAGACAATCCCATTTGGGATATCCTAGAGGAGAAAACTGTGCTAAAAACTGCACTCACACGGACGAGCTGATACCCTCGCCCTGCAATAGTCCGAAAGAAGATACCTCAAAAAGCCAGCACACGCGAGGCCCGAGCGTCCCAGACGGCATATACAGTACCGGTCAAAAGTGTTCGCCGAAACGATTTTTGGTGCATTATTTTTTCTCACTTGAGCAACGCCCTCCAAAGATTGATAGACTACTATGTTTTCTAGTGTTTTTATATCCTTGAGTTTCAAAGAATCAGGATATTCAAAAGAAAAGGTTGATCAATGCTGAGCATAGAACGTTTCATCAGCATCATACGTCTGACCTCGTCCAATATTCCCGAATTTTCAATAATGATTATCGCTGGAACAGTGCAAAAGGGCAAGCTGGGCTACTGTACCGGTTCGGGACCACACGTATCACGCTCTATAAAGACAATCAATCTAGCATTTCGAACATTCTGGATCAGTCATCACCGTGCTACATTTTACGCAATGTATTATTTGTCAGGTACAGATTCCCCTCCATAGTGGTCTATCGTTACGATGTCAAGCATCACTGGAAATTGTAAAGCCGAGTCGGCCCAAATTAGCGACCACAGGCAGGGTCAACCGTTACGTTGGACCGATATTGGAGCGACGTTGGACCGATGTTCACCGCTCTCCGCGCCGGCATTCACTCTCGCCACCCGCGAGCCGTCTGTGTCTCCGTGCGTACGTTCACTCTCGGCATTACTCTCGTCGTCGCGTTGGACTTTGTCCAACGGACGGTTGACCCTGCCACCAGACGCATCAGCAGAAAGAACAGATTATAACTATATGTAGAACTAATTTAGCTAATCTGTTTCCATCTGGAACCTTGTTCTGAAGTGATCTTCGCAGGAATTAGCAGCTTTCAACCTGCATTTGTGGATAATCGTCGCGTTTTTGAAAATATTCTTTTCTCTGTCACACTCTGTTACTTTCTTCTGTATATACGCCGTTTTCTCATTGGTGGACCATTTATTCTTGTCAAGTACGAGCGTGTGAACCGAATGGTTGTATTTTTGCCAGTAAAATATAATAAATAGAATAATTAATAGAACACAACGATATTCACGATGAAATTGTTCATAGTTTTGCTGGCCATCGATTTCTCGTAATCTCACCAAGTTTGAATTTGGCATTTTAACATGAAGGCAGAGTTATATCCAACAGATTTTTTCTCGTATATAGTTTGCTAGCAACGAGATCATGTAAATTCAGAAAAAATCAGCGGAAATCGTGTAGTTTGTGGAGCTGATGGCCATGAAAAGTTGGGGCGAATGAAGTCAAGAGCGCAAAAAGTGAGAAAAACGGAAACCTGCGCAAAGCTCGCTTAGCTTGCCGTTTAGTGCGCTTTGAGCAACGTCACTTCGGCTACATCATTGTTGACGCCCTGATCGCCCTAACACCAAAGGGAGCCGGGGGCGGCGAGGTCCAACGGCACAGAGATGGTATGGGCATGCATAGGACGTGGCATGAAAAGGAGCCGGAGAGGACTGGCATTCGCTAGAGGCTGGCCTCACAACACACTTTTCACTGGCAAGGTACATTAATGCCTTATCAAAACGCACTGTATCGTGCTCATGCCTTAAAGGAGGATTTTACGATTAGAATGGAGGTCGAGGAAGAAGTAATTCACCTAGTTGAGTAACCCACGACCTCCTGAGGGTGCGAACTGATGCGCAATTCGCATCGAAAAATTTGACCTCGGCGACCTATTATGCCTCAAAGTTGGCGGGTCTGGCGATCTCCGCCCACCGACCAGCTGATCACTCGCCGCAGATCTATACGTGGGATTGATTAGATAGCAGAGAGAGCGTGATGTTGAGGAGGGCACAGCGATAAGAGTCGCATCAATGCGCAAATCAGCGGGGAAGGAAGGGGTCCCATTTCTCGGGTTCTGGGCCGTTTCTCATGGTTCTTCCTTCTTTCGTGTACCAAGACCATCCCTAAGTTATTAATTTGAAATGGGTTGCCTTCCCAGCGTGAATTCGTCTTTGAGTTCAGAGGCATCAACGATAGCGGAAGTGATATGTCCAAAAGCATGCTGTAGCTTGGATCCCATTTAGGCGTGATCGAAATAAAAAGTTCGGCCGCCACATATTTGTGAAAGCCCTTTTGAATGCAGACCCCAGCGAATAGGCATGCTAATATCGCTGGGAAATTTTATAAAAGGTGCAAATCGGACCGACAGTTAAGGAAAAAATTGAAAGAAAGCACTGTCAACGCCGAAAGAGGTATTTCTCTCTCTAGGCTATGGAGGAGTACTTGAGAGGCAAACATCATGACGAAACATTATAGGCGCCGAGGAGAGGGTAAACACAAATCGAAGATGAGAGACCATGGGTATAAACGAGGTAGGACTCCTCCCACGGAGTCCATTCTGGGGCGGTGGCTCTGAATGCCAACGAAAATCGTCCTCTTTCTTCATCTTGGGTACAATTTCGCCATTCAAAACCATCACGAAGAAACCGATTCAGAGGTAGAAGGCAGAATTGAAAGCTCATTCAAGAAACTTTCGTTGGAATGCTTGTCTGTTGAACGGATGGTTAGCCTCAAAAGCTGATGTGGGACAACTACATCTTCCGTCTGCTTGCGAAGCAATGCCAGGAGCACGAGTGTGAATGTTGTGAATGACTTCCTTCATTACCTTTCGAGGATAATGAAGTTTCTAAGGGGGTGTGCGTCATATGGCGCGATCCCATTGGCATTGGAGCGCACAGGTCGTAATTACCACATCCTTCCGTGGCCGGACAACTCGTCCATGCAACACATTCTGTTCCGTTCCTCTTGCCTTGGCATCAGGCCAGCAGAGCCATGTATCTTTTTCAATCTTGGGACTCAGCGAGATTTTTGAGACCCAAATTATCAGATCGATCAATTACAGAAGTCTGGTAGTTGAGTGATACGGACGAGTTGTCCGACCGCAGCAGGATGGGGCAGTTGCGGCCTGCGCTCTAATGCCAATGGGATCGCGCCATATGACCGTTCTTAAGAAGCGAAGAGTAGAAGTATTAGCTGATGTAATAGAAGAAGGATAATTCTCTGAAGATAATGAGGGAAGTCATTCACAGCTTCTACTATGACCTCTTCGACTGCCACTTGCTAGCGCATCAGGAACCTTTCAACGTCCGACATGCCATCTCCTCGGTGAAGAATCGTACAGCTCCCTATCGCGAAATCCGGCACATTCGAAGAATTCAACGTTGATTGGCGTCAAAACGTTGGCTCGACACCTTAGGCGTTACCCGTCGGAAGACAAGTAAACCGACGCGACGAGAACAAGGCGGAACTTGTGTTGCTGTGCAGAGAAGACTGAATGATGATAGGTATCGCGCAATCTGTCTGCTGTCTTTGATCTACAAACGCTTCATTCCTGTCATCCTCAACAAGAGTGGCAAAACTCTGGATGAAAGACAGCGATGCGAGCAGACAGGGTTTCGAAGAGGGTTCAGCACCATCATATCCACACCTCAGAGACCTGATTGCATACAAGATGTTGGCTACTGAGTATGCTTAAAATCTAATACTTGTCGCACGATGTTCACTGAATCCTCGTACTTGCGTCCGAAATCGAAAACGAGTTTGCTTTTTAGCTCAACAAGCTTAATTTTTCAGACAGCAGCGCTATGAATTATTACCTTCCCGTTGGTCCTCCTTTCAGCATTGTTTGGGTATCGAGGCATTTTTGCGGTGAGTCTCCATCAGTTCCAGCGGAAATTCTAGCCCGATACACCTAAATTCCCGAAAATTCATCCGATTGAGGGTGCCCATACGCAAGGCGAAGCACGCCCACTCTTTCAATGGAAGAGCTCTCACCGCTTACCTGAAACAGAAGTACGTAAGAGGGTACGAGCTCCGTGCAGAGAACGTCTTCGACGAAACTTATATTACTCTTTCGAATTTGATGTGAGTGAACTGAATAGAAGAATGTAGATCCGTTGTTATTCCAAATGTTTGGAGTTTAGGTATCGTATATCGGACCCATACAGATTGGTACCCCTCCTCAATCGTTTCTGGTGCAGTTCGACACAGGCTCTGCAGACCTGTGGGTCCCCTGCAAGGGTTGCAATCCCCACGAAGCCGCTTGTAAGAATCATCGTCAGGTGAAGATATCAGACGTATGGTTGTAGTACACTTACACATGTAGTTCAACTTTGTTTCAAGTTCGACTTCAAACACTCGACGACATTCACTCCAAAAAATGAGAGATTCAGTATCACTTATGGAAGCGGTCCTGTCGCAGGATTAGTCGGCCACGATGTTGTTTGTGTAAGTCTCTGCTTAATTAGTGCAGGAAAAATGAAGCTGATGCTTGACACTTGCAGTTTGGATGTGACCGCACTTACTGCACCAACAAAACGCAAACATTCCGTTGCGTATTTTTCGAGGGCGGAAACACATTTGCAGTAGGTTGAGGCGATGGCCAAGACGAGGCGATTGATGAAGATTTTATTACTTTAGACCAGCGGATACGACGGTATTCTCGGCATGGCATGGCCGTCAGACGCAGTTGGTGGTAC